TTATTATTATTATTATTATTATTATTATTATTATTATTATTATTATTGCAGTTGTTGTTGTTATGATTACATTTGTTCACCACTCAACACTCTGTTTCCCAAAGATGAATTTGTTTAAGTATATATTTATAACATATGTGTTTTATATCTTTTTCTGAGACTGGTGGCCTATCAACCATTTCTTTACCCTCAACTTATATTTGCTTTTGCAGATATGGACCACTGCTTTCAGTGCCCAGAAGATCAATATCCAAACAATAAACATAATTTCTGCCATCTCAAATATTTAACTTATCTCTCTTATGAAGAAACATTAGGAAGCAGCTTGATGATAGTGGCCATTATTCTTTCTTTTACCACAATTTCTATACTGGGAGTATTCCTGAAGTACCACAACACTCCTATCATTAAGGCCAACAACCGCAGCCTCTCCTATACCCTCCTCCTCTCTCTCCTCCTCTCCTTCCTTTGTCCTCTGCTTTTCATTGGTAGACCCATGAAGGTGACCTGCCTCCTTCGACAGACTGCTTTTGGTATCATCTTCTCAGTGGCTATTTCCTGCATACTCGCCAAAACCATCACTGTGGTTCTTGCTTTCATGGCCACCAAGCCAGGATCAAAGATGAGGACATGGGTTGGAAAAAGACTGGCCCTTTCCATTGTTCTCTCCTGCTCCTTTATGCAAACTCTTCTTTGTACTGTGTGGCTGGCAACTTCACCCCCTTTCCCAGACTTTGATATGCACTCCTTCATTTCTGAAATTGTTGTGGAATGCAATGAAGGGTCAGTTGTCATGTTTTATAGTGTCTTGTCTTTTATGGGCTTCCTGGCTATAGTCAGTTTTATTGCAGCTTTCTTATCTAGGAAGCTACCAGATGCTTTCCAGGAAACCAAATCCATCTCATTCAGCATGCTTGTTTTTTGCAGTGTGTGGTTGTCCTTCGTCCCTGCCTATGTGAGCACCAAAGGCAAATACACAGTGGCTGTGGAGATCTTTTCCCTCTTGACCTCTAGTGCTGGGCTTCTGGCTTGTATCTTTTTCCCCAAATGTTACATCATCATTTTGAGGCCTAATCTGAATAAAAAGAAGCATCTAATAAAGAGAATTATTTAAGCAATCCTGTTTTATGTCTTTCTCCAACATGGGATTGGCATTTTGAGGTGAATCTCATGAGGCATTAATTTTAAGAGATACTTTAAAGTTCAGATAATAAATGTCATGGTGGTTGTAGAAAATCCCATACATCAACCAAAGATGAAAAAATATGCATTGGAATTTGTTGTGATTCTTTATTTATATAATGTTCAGAATGAGAGAAACTGGAAGCTGCATTTTCACAATTAAGTTTGTTTGGTGCTCAGTTTAATAAATTTGGAGAGGTTTTTTTTAGTTTACTTAATCTAAAATCTTAATTATATTGTCTTAAAAGTATTTTATACAATGTTTTTTCAACTTACTCAGAATTCAATTAAACTGTATAAACATTTTCTAAAAATAGAGAAAAGAAAGTAAAGTAGTTTAGACTACTAAATACTGAATATCATAAAATGAAAATAATAAAATAGCTGTATACAAATTAATTGACTATGATAAAGATACAATACTTTTTGAATAAAAGAATATAATGCTGATATATTGAGTTATACTGTATTCATGCTAGCATTATATACTTTTTAGAGGTTAATATTGAATAGCTAGTCAGGCATCCAGATAGCCAGGCACCAGACAGTCAGCTAGATAGCTAGACTTATAGCTAGATAGCTATATAACTTGATAGCTAGAAAGCTGGATAGATGGAAGACAGATGGATGATAGATAGATTATAGATGACAGCTAGCTAGCTAGCTAGCTAGCTAGTTAGCTAGAGATAGATAGATAGATAAATAGATAGACAGACAGATAGATAGATAGACACCTGTCTATCTATCTATCTGTCTGTCTATCTATTTATCTATCTGATAAATGATAGCATTGATGACTGATAGATTTCAGTGACAAATTATATGTAACAGGAAACAAAGAAATATAGAACAGCATAGAAGGCATGTAAAAGTTTGGTTATATGTAAGGTCTTTCATAAAGAACAATAATTTTCTGCTAAAAATATTGCTGAAATAGTGATTCTCCTGGAAATATTAGGGGGCTAGACTGATAGTATAAAGCAAATAAAATCCTGCACACAACTTATGAAATATTTATTAGGGCTGGATGCAAACTTTGAGACATATGTGTACACCTTGGAAATGGATTGGGGTTTAAAAAGTGTTATGGTAGCAGATGGATTTTTTTTGCTTACTTTAGTATGAAAAAGATCAAGTATATACCTATTGTTCTTGTTTGCCATTTCAGAAAAGATCTAACTGGTTCATTCCAGATTCAAGAGGGATGATTACAGGATATTTAAAGGGGAAAAATGTTCTATGTTATTGTTGTTTTGTCTCAATGACATTTGAGACATCTAAGTGCTTTTGGAAAAAAATCATAAGGATTTTGGAATAATTTACTATGAGCCTCTCCTTCTTATAGAAATTTCCCAGACTTCTTCTGAAGCCTCCAGAAAACATGGCCATATGGTCAGCATTAAGAAAGCAGATTCATTGTTATCAGTAGGGAGATGACATTTGTGTTTATTTCAGAGGTTGATTCAAGTTTATACGCAGCTTGAAAAAAAACCACTCATGTTTCACAACAATCCAAAAATACAAACAAGGTTTCCAAAGGAAGTTACAACTATGATAAACATCCTGGAGTCTGCTACATCATGCATGACTTTAAAATCACTTTGCTTCTACATATTTTCTTTCAGAATATCATTCTGTGGTTACACAGGAATGGTTTTTGTGTAAAAAATTAAGAGTGCCATTGTTAAGGTTCCCTTGCTATGTATTTTGTTCTCATACTTTGTTAAAGTTAAATGGAACTTTGGTAAAGTTAAATGGAACTTTGGTAAAGTTAAATGGAACTTTGGTAAAATTAAATGGATGCCTCCAATGTCATTGCCAGAAAAACAATAATAATATAGAACTTTTTTTTTCTTTTAAATATCTTGGAGTATTATTCCACCCCTCTGGAATCTGGAATGAACCATTCTGAAGGAGTGTGGCTCCAACAGATCCCAGGAATGGCATCAGAGCTCTCTATCCAGAAAAGTGCAGTGCTAGTGGTGGCTCAGTGGCTAAAATGTTGAGCTTGTCGATCAGAAAGGTGGGCAGTTTGGTGGTTCGAATCCATAGCATTGCATAATGGCGTAAACTCGCGTTACTTGTCCCAGCTTCTGCCAACCTACCAGTTTGAAAAATGCAAGTAGAAAAATAGAGACCACTTTGGTGGGAAGGTAACAGTGTTCCATGCACCTTCGGCATGTAGCCATGACCATGGAGATGTCTTCAGACAGTGCTGGCTCTGTTGAGGTAAATCCCCATTAGGAGAATGAGTGCACAAAGGGAGACGTAGTGAGAGTGGTGAAGAATAACACACAACTAGCACACAGATACACTGTATGTAGGTTTTTACTTCCAGTAAATGGTTAAGCAAAGTCCAACAAACAGTCCAAGTCATACACGGTTATAGCAATCAGTTTTCAGTCCAGGGATAATCCAATAACAAAGTCCAGTATCAAAAACAGTTCCGTAATAGACTTACATCAATCCAAGAATAATGACGATCAGTAACAGTCAATAGGGAAAT